CAAGGTAACCTTCTGGAAACTAGGCACCTTAAGCCAACAGATAACGAAGCTGATTCCCTGAAATGGAGACTCTAACACCAACTGCACATGGCAATCAATCAGTAGGAATTATTCATGAGACATGGTTACTTTCATTCTCTGAACAGGAAGGTCAGGGGCACTATTTTGAAAACAGCTCAACACTATATTTGACGTTTGTTTTTTGTAATGGTCACTTTGAGGTGAAGTAACTGACGAAAACTTGATCCGTTGGATTCCCAGAGAGAGTAAGAGGTTACTAAATTGGGAACATGGCTGCGACAGTTTCCAGGGTTCCACATAGTGGACTAGTATGGTACGAATGTGCCTTCAGTTACACGAATGTGATAGCGTTCAGTGGGTGCTGTAGCAGTAATGAATTTCAAAGCCAGGCTTTCAGTACACTAATCAGTCCTCCAACTAGTTGCTATAGCAACCCAGAATGAAAGGAAAGAGAAATTGAGAGTGCAGTGGTGAGGACTTATAAAGCAATAACGGAAGCATCTCTGAGCCCAGCTGATCACACTAGCAAAAAGCCTGGGGCTCAGTACATTGTTTATAATCTGTCAAAAGTTTAGAGCTCTTCTGCTCAGATGTTACATCTTCTGTTTCTGCTGGAAAACACACAACTGAAAACATACTGTGAAGCTTCCAGGATGGCAAATAATGGGCACTGAATCTATCAGCAGAGAGCCCAAAACAGCCAATGCCAAACAAGCACATGTTACCAATACTAAGTCATTGCTAAAGCCTGCAACTATCCCACTCTTTAGATCTGGGCATCAACATTCCCTGGTCAAATAGCCTCCCATCCTCCAGCTTCTCTAAATACTAGCTTGACCAGACCTCTATCCTTCATTCCATCATCAAGGTCCACACTGGCCCCTTTAAAGCTAGAGTTCCCTTTATAAAACCTGCATCTTGTCACCTGTATCTTGCAATCTTAAAAATCTTGAATTCCAGCTTTTTCACCGAATGCCCATGTGCCGGTTCTAATCTCTCACTCTTCACACAATACTGATCTTTCTTACCCTCTGTGAAGCAACTGTTATATAAATGCACTCTATTATTGATCCAGTCTGCCTGGGCTCATACTCAAAGAATGTGGGAAGGAACTGGCTTGCACCTCATATCTGTATCCCAATGAGAGGCAGCAGCTTGAGGGGAAAAAACATACATCTTTCATAAAGAAAATGAAAATTTGCAGCACCTTAGGGAAAGAGCAGAAAGGCATGATTAATTTAATACCCCTTTCAAAGACATTATGGCTGAACAGCCTCCTTTTGTTCCATATCAAAATCTCTGAACTGTAATGAAAGGAGAAACAGGGAAAGGAATAATCAACAGACTATCTTTTTAAAATGCTAGACAGCCAGAAGACCAGGAGCTGATGAGGCATTAAGACCCAGGAGGTCAACCTCAGAGAAAATGGTCTGTTGTACTGTAAATGCAACGGAAAAAGGTACCTTTAGCAACATGCAAACCACAGATTACGTGCAGACAACTGATGACGTAAACTGTGCATTACAATTCAAACATTCAGGTCTTGTAACACATATAAACTGCAATGATGCTGCACTGCCCACAACACACACTTTATAAAGGACAAAAATAAATGTAACAGGAAGTAGGAATCAAGGTGGTTCAAAGGTACTTTTTACCAAGAATGGACATGTTACCTGAAATTTGTGGCTACAAATATCCAAACCACATTAAAGATTCTCTGCATATCCAAAAGATTTAGCTCCATAAAAATTAGGTGAGATCAGTTGAGAGATAAAATTAAAAGCATAAAACAAATTAAAGGCTGTAGAGCTACCAGAACAACAACAACTTGCATTTTATAACATCTTTAATGAATACTAAGGTGACTCTCAAGCAAAAAGGATAGGTATGTTTTAAGAAGCAATGCAGTTTATGGAGTGAAGGAAATCAGCGACATGCAAGAGGTAAGAACAGGAGTCATCCACAGTTCATGGAGGGGCTGTAATTCTGGAGAAAAGTGCAAAGGTAGGGGAGAGGAATGGTCATGCAGGAAATTAAAAATAATAATTGAATTTTAAAATCAAGAAGTTGAGTGACTGGTATTAATGTAGGTCAGTAATTACAGAGGTGCCTGGTGAATGAGCATGAGAGTGAGTGATGCTGGATTTGATAAAATTGATTGGTTTTCTGTTGACAATGCAGAGGTACATGGTTCCTGTTCTTGCAGTTTGCTGCAATTCCTACAATGGGACAGTGGAGGGAGCCAGTAGCCCAGCCTGTATCCAGAAAACAAAGGGATGATGTGGAGGTGCTGGTGTTGGACTGGGGTGGACAAAGTCAAAAAGCACACGACACTAGGTAATAGTCTAACAGGTTTGTTTGAAATCACAAACTTATGGAGCGCAGCCTCTTCATCAAGTGCAGTGAAAGGAATGACAACAAACAAGGGCTGCCGCGAAACAGAAAAAACAAAGAACTGTGGATGCTGGAAATCAGATACAAGAACAGAAATTGCTGGAAAATCTCAGCAAGTCTGGCAGCATCTGTGGAGAGAAAGCAGAGTGAATGTTTCAGGTCCGGTGACCATTCTTCAGAACTTGCCTCCAGGCTCAGTCCAAATGTAACCCCTTCAAAAGGCAGGGGCTAGAACTAACGAGATAAACAGAACAATTTACTTTTGCCTCAATCCAGGCTGCATCGCCACCTCATCCCAAACCCACTGATTGTCCCTGGGCTCAATTCCACAATACCTGATGCCCTTCACGTGACCTCTGACGGTTATGTCAGTGTTGGGGTGGAGGACTGGAAATCACAATTGAACCCATTTTTGTCCCTACATCAACCTACTGGTCAGTCATCTTCCCAGGCTGTTCATTCTCCTGCTCTAGTGGCTGTTGCTGCTAAGGTTTTATGGATGAATGGGCAAAGAGCAGAAACACCTGGTTGCAGTAAGCTGTGCGCTGATTCTTGGTCACTCCTCTCCATGTGCACATTCCAAATCCTGAGCAGCAGTGTCTCCAATATTAATGCACTGCCTCAGAATTTCAAAGTTGTGGACCCATTTCTCACATCTTTCCATTCTCCTGCATCACAGAAAACCAAGCTTAGCATAAGAAATAGCAGCAGGAGTAAGCCATCTGGCTCGTTGAGCCTGCTCTGCCATTCAATAAGATCATAGCTGATCTTTTTGTGGACTCAGCTCCACTTACCCGCCCACTCACCATAACCCTTAATTCCTTTACTGTTAAGCTTGGCATCTCCTGCTTCAATTAATCTGCTCCCCTTTTCTCTGTAACCTTGGCTTTGTGCCTCAGCCTTCACCTGGATCTTTCAATAAATGAAATACAGTTCACTGAACACTCCCATGCTGATCTCCCATCACACACACCTTTACCACACTACCAGTGTTAAGGTTTTGTAACAAACAAAATAAAAACATTTCAAACACAGACAGAAGCAGGAAAGGAACATGAAGCAAACTGAAGTATTAAAAATCACTATGTAAGTGCAAGTCTTTCTTTTGCAGACAGTCAGAGGAAGAGGCAACAGGTAGTCTGCAAAATGCTGGCTTAGGGAAAAATTCAATATCAGAAACAGGATGGAGTTTACTACACAGGAATACAAGAACTTCAACGCAATCCTTCTAAAGATCTTGATCAGGGTTGGGTTACATCAAATCACATTCTTCCAACCATTTCCTGTGCACAAGCACGGAACAGAAATTACCTCAAAATATGAAAGTTTAAAAAAAACTAGAACCTCACAGTTAATGATATAAGGGAGCTGCAGTTTTTATTAGTTTTGATTCTTACACTACAGAAGTGTAACAGCAAAGCATTGTGCATGGATTTTATGGAGACAGGCTGGGTTCTGACCCTGGAGTAGAGGGCAGGAATGAACCTGCCCCAGTTTGCCCCAGAGCCAATTAATGACCATCAGGCTGTGAACTGGCTTGAGAGGCAGGCATCCCAGCTGCAGGCAGAAGGCAAGTCCTTCCTTCAGGCTGCTGGCCATGTTAATGGCCAGCAGCTCTCTAGTCCCAGCAGGGCCACCAAGACAAATAGCCACTGCTGTGACTGCCACAAGTCCCAACAAAGGTGTTTAGCAATAGAGAGAGATAGTAGGAACTGCAGATGCTGGAGAATCTGAGATAACAAGGTGTAGAGCTGGATGAACAGCAGGCCAAGCAGCATCAGAGGAGCAGGAAAGCAGACGTTTCAGGTCTGGACCCTTCTTCAGCCAATACCAGGGTCTCACTAGAGCAGGCTGACAAGCGGTGAACATGCTGGACAGAACAGTGGGGAGGGAACATTCGTGAGCAGAGGTCTTCAGTGAGCTTTCCTCCCTTTGAACAGATATCAGCCTGAACAGTGAAAACTGCAAGCTAAACAGTGGAGGTGAGAGGAGGCCCCCAGCTTTTATTATAGGTTTTATTCTTATGCACTGTAGGATATGAATCACACAAAAATCTAATACCCACTAAAATTGAGATAATGCTGCTGGACAATGCTAAGAATTCATCCCAACCAATTACATCAGTGTCTTCATGACAGAAAGAGAGCTGAACCTCAGCACCTTCAGGCGAGGAGGGGGAGCTGTACCCCAGGAACAGTCAGCACCTTCAGGAGAGGAGGGGGTGCTGTACCCTAATGGTAATCAGCACCCTAGTTGGGGGGAGGCTAAACAGATCTCTACCTCAGGTGAAAGTCAGCATCTTCAGTGGGGCAGGTGAGGAAGATGATGAAATAGGCAAAAATCTGACTGCAAGCCACTCATCTTTTGGGAAGTGAGGAACGACACCTAGGAGACCAACAGCAGTGAGGAAAGGATTACAGTGGATAGAGGTTTCTGTTACACAGCTCGCTGCTTCTCACCCCATAACCATCAATCCCCTGGACAGAAACAAGGATCGAAGCCCTGTCAGGACAGGCACTGCTAAACATGTCTCTTTATTCAACGAAGCTTTACTCTAGAACTTGGCAAAGAGAGGTTCTTACTGGAAGGATGGTGGCCTGGAGTCGCCGATGCCGCCAGTCCTCTCAATGGGGGGTGGTAACTCTGACATACTGTCTGCACACTGTGAGCCGCCATCAGATGCTGAGCCTTCAGCCAGGACCAGCTGTGAAGAAAGATAAAGGCAGAGGTTGAGTGGGCGGGGAGGAAGCTGCAGACAGGGTGCACTTAAGTGGGGGGTGAGGGGAAATAGGTGGAGGAAGGAGTGGAAACAGGAGGGGAAGTTAAACTATTGCCAGGGCAGAGTGACAGAGAAAGGTGGGGGTGGGGGTGGTGTGTGGTGGTGATGAGAAGGGAGCAAGGGAATGACTGTGGTGGGGGAAGGGTGGCTGAGACAAATTGGATAGGGACAGCATCAAATAAGCCACTTTAACATTCTGAATCTTGTTTTATAAGTTGTCGCCATACAATCAGCCAAGAGTTTGAACAAGAATTACCTTAACAATAATGAACTTCTAAACTGCTGTGGTGAGAAGAGAGAATAGGTACTTGCAAACTTATTATTTTTCCCTTGCTTTATCCCCATGCCATTTCTGTGCGCAGGGCACTTTAAATTCCATTTATTGATGTGCTCTGCCTGTAACTCCTCATGAAGGCAGTCAAGTTGATCAGTATCACTTTCCGCTCCATTATTAGATGACTAGCCAGTGTTACCAAGGGCACAGCACACATTTCCTTCTGCGCCCCAGTGTCACCAGGTACTTTCTTGAATAATATATCCTGTTTATTCTCTTCAATTTCTTTTCAAAAATAGTGAGGGTTGTCTAAGTATAAAATTAGCCGTTCTCTGAAATGGAATGAATAGGAGTCTCAGTTAAAAAAAAACAGGAGAAAGGAAATAAATAAATAAAAGAAAGAGTGAGAAGGAGAAGGAAAGACAGAGAAAAGCAAGTCAGAGGTAACAGAGATAGTGTAAACGTAAGAAATATCCAGGAAGTCAGAAAGAAAGAGAATAAAAAGTTGGTAAGAAAAGTCAATTATACTTTCATTACTTCAGGATGGCCCAAAGTATTGTTCGCCAAGGAAGAAATTTTTAAGCACTGTTGGAATGTAGGAAATGCAGAAGTCAATTTGCACATGGCAAGCTCCAACAAACACAGAAATGGTTATGGTCAGATCACATGCTTTCCTGATGTAGGTTAAGGAATAAACATTAGTCATACTCCACTGGTCTTTTTCAAACTGTGCCATGGGATCTTTTAAATCGAACTGACAGGGCAGGCAGGACCGGAGTTTCATGTTCCAGTCAAAAGATGGCACCTCCAACATTGCAAAGTTCCCTCGGTGCTGCACTAAGCCTGGTTTACAGACTCAGTCCTTGGAGTTAACTCGAACACAAATAGTTTCTGTCATGAGAGTTATCACAGAGCTAAGGCAAATAAATCTCTAGACAGCACGAGTTAGGTTTTTCACCATCGCCGAGTTGCTAGAAGCACATACAAGGACCTTCTACATCTCATTGTGGTTCAGTGGTCAAATATGCTGCCCTGTATAGTAATAAGGCACACAGAGCAGTCCTGGGTCCTCCTCTTATATTGTGCTGAGTCAACTGATCACAGACAAGGCTGGAGAAGGTAAATTAATCTCAGCAGCCTTGATTAAAGGGAAAATGATTGAGCTCATAATGTGGAATAAATCTACTAGAACAGGAAATGTAGTAACAAATTTGCAAGCAGATAGAGCCTGTGGACAGCTGTGGAATGAGTGACATGCTAATTGGTTTTTTTAAGCAATGTTGCTTAAGGGATAAACGTTGACTCAGGGCACTGGAGAGAGTTCCATAGCTCTCTTGGAAATAGCACCATAAGAGCTTTTTCCAAAGTTTTCAGTACTTTTTCTGGAATTCAACTTTGCTAGAACAGATTGTTACATTCGATTGAGGCATGAAAGTGGCTCTAGCAATATTGAAGTCAATGGGAATTGGGGAAATCTACGCTGGTTACAAACATACCTGGTACAAAAAAGGATGGTTACAGTTATTGGAGACCAATCATCTCATTCCAAGGAGATCACTGGAAGAGCTCTTCAGACAAACATCCTCTGCGACAACAATGACTTTCTCTCCATCATAATGTATAATTGACAAAGTGGCCAAAAGATGTTTAGACTTTAATGTTACTGGGTGTTTTATGGAGTTATATAGAGTCATACAGCACGGAAACAGACCCTTCGGTCCAACTTGTCCATGCCAACCAAGTTTCCCAAACTAAACTAGTCCCATTTGCCCACGTTGGCCAATATCCCTCTAAACCTTTCCTATTCATGTACCTGCCCAAATGTCTTTTAAATGATGTAACTGTACCTGCATCTACAAATTCATTTGGCAGCTCATTCCACATATAAACCAGCCTGTGTGTGAAAAAGTTGCCCCTTAGGTCCCTTTTAAATCTTCCTTCGCTCACCTTAAACCAATGCCCTCTAGTTTTGGACTCCCCAACCCTAGGGAAAAGACCTTTGCTATTCACCTTATCTATGCCCCTTATGATTGTGTAAACCTCTAAAAAGGTCACCCCTCAACCTCCTATGTTCCAGTGGAAAAAGTCCCAGCTTATCCAGCCTCTCTTTGTAACTCAAACCCTCCAGTCCCGGTAACATCCTTGTAAATCTTTTCTGCACCCTCTCCAATTTAATAACATCCTTCCTATGCAGGACAACAAGAATTGTACACAGTCGCCCAAAACTGTCCTCATCAACATCAAGTACAACCTCAACATGACATCCCAACTCCTATACTAAATGGTCTGAGCAATGAAGGCAAGCATGCCAAACATCATCTTTACAACTCTGTCTGCCTATGATGCAACTTTCACTGAACTATGAATCTGAACCCCAAAGTCTCTCTGTTCTGCAATGCTCCCCAGGGCCCTACCATTAACTTTGCAAGTCTTGTCCTTGTTCTTATTACCAAAATGCAACACCTCACATTTAGCTAAATTAAACTCCAACTGCCACTCCTCGGCCCATTGGCCAAATTGATCAAGTCCCCTTTGTGATTTTAGATAACCTTTCTCACCATCCACTATATCACCAATTTTGGTGCCACCCACAAATTTACTAGCCATGCTTCCTATATTCTCATCCAAATTTTTCGTATAAATGACAAGAACAGTGGACCCAGCACCGATTCCTGCAGAACACTGCTGATCACATGCCTCTAGTCCAAAAAACAACCTTCCATCACCATCTTCTTCCTCCTACGGTCAAGCCAATTTTGCATCCAATTTGCAAGCACTCCCTGAATCCCATGTGATCTAACATTACTACCAGTCTACCGTGTGGAACCTTGTCAAAGGCCTTACTAAAGTCCATGTAGACAATGTCTACCACACTGCCCTCATCTGTTTGTGAGACACAATTTCCCACATACAAAGCCAAGCTGACTATCCCTAATCAGTTCTTGCCTCTTCAAATACATGTAAACCCTGTCTTTCAGAATCCCCTCCAATAACATACCTACCACCGACATCAGACTCACCAGTCTGCAGTTCCCAGGCTTCTCCTTGCAGACATTCTTAAATAAAGGCACAACATTAGCCACTGTTCCAGCACCTCACCCGTGGCTCTAGATGATACAAATATCTCTGTAGGGGCCATGCAATTTCTTCCCTAGCTTCCCACAATGTCCTAGGATACACTTGATCAGGTCTTGGAGACTTATGTACCTTTATGCTTTTTAAGACTTCCAGCATTTCCTCTTATGGAATTTGGACTGTTTTCAAGACGTCAATATTTATTTCCCAGAGTTCCCTAGGTTCCACGGCTTTCTCCACAGTAAAAACTGATGCAAAATATTCGTTTGGTATCTCTCCCATCTCCGGTGGTTCCACACACAGACGACCTCATTGATCTTTAAGGGGCCCTATTCTCTCCGTAGTTGCTCTTTTTCCCTTAATATACTTTTAGAATCTCTTTGGATTATTCCTCACCTTATCTGCCAAGGCTTTCTCACGTCCCCTTTGTGCCGTCCTGATTTTCATCCTAACAATGTCCCCACTCCCCTTATACTTTTCAAGAGATTCACTTGATCCCAGTTGTTTATACCTAACATATGCCTCCTTTTTATTCTTGACCAGAGCCTCAATATCTTTATTCATCCATTGTTCCCTACTCCTATCAGCCAACAGGAACATACTGCTTGTGAACTCTCATTATCTCACTTTTGAAAGCTCCTGTCTCATATCATCAGAATTAGCCTTATTCCAATTTCGAACCTTAACTTTTATACAAGGCCTATCCTTTTTGACGGGTACAGCTCTAAATCTGTACACCAGTTTGTCAGAAGACAAACTGTTCAGAAGCAATACTTATGCTTATGAACTTGTCACCAATGGTCATGAATTAAAATGTAGGACTACAAGAAAGAAACCTAGTCAGAATTTGTAGAATTTTCGAAAGAAAAATTAAATGCTGCGGGATCAGTGGTTTTGATCACGGAAGCTAGAAAAAATGTTTGAGAACATTGGGGAAATCATGATTCTGGAAGATTTCAGAAACCAGTAACCGTAAGACTTATTTAGCATAAAGTATCAAAGATCTAAGAAGTAGCAACAATTTTGGTGGATGTCTACGATACCTCTCACAGTTACACGTGGGGATGTTTCCATTAGTAAGAGAGACGAGGACCCGAGGGCACAGCCTCAGAGTAAAGGGACAATGCTTTAGAACTGAAATGAGAAGGAATTTCTTCAGCCAGTGGGTCGTTAAGCTGTGGAACTCATTGCTGGAGAGGGCTGTGGAAGCCATGTAGTTGAGTGCATTTAAGACACAGATAGAAGAATGGGGTTGAGAAACATATCAGCCATGATTGAATGGTGGAGCAGCACTGATGGGCCAAATGGCCTAATTCCGCTCCTACATCTTATGGTTTCATGGGAATCCACAATTAAATCAAAGGACAGAAAATCTGAAGATGGAAACAAATGCCATGATCAAAATGGACTTGTATAAAATTTTATTGACATAAAACTCATTATATGTAATGTAAAAATTTTACTGTTTATATAAGAGAAATAATGCTACAAAGAAATTGTTGATAGAAAATGAAAATGCCTCTGGTACGAAGAAAGATGTGTAAAATATGTTATCATTTTTGGATTTGGACTGTTT